CATTCACACTACATTCAAGATTGTACATATCCTTTTTCATAAAACCGATTTTATCCATTCCTCCGGATTGCACCTCGAAAATACTTACCTTCTGATTAATGGGAATATTAACCGAACCCAACTGTTTTGTAAGTACTTTTGTAGAATCTGAAATACGACGGTGTGATCTCAGTAAATGCATTCTTCCTGAGGGTGTCATCTTATGATTGTGTCCCTCTGCAAAAAGAGAGATGGTATACTTCTTGCTCCCATGTGTCTTCACAACCACAATCTTAGCTTTGCAATTGCATCTACTTATTCCCCGTTGTCTTTTTCTCTCCCGAGTTTCATCATTCCGGTATGCACCTTGTTTGCAACATACAAATTCTTTTCTCAGAATCTCTTTCTTATTTTTCCCCCAAAAGCTGGAATGAAGTCGAATACCAAAGCCAGCCAAGAATGCATATCTATTATAGAAATTATAAACGAGGTCAAGCGAGTCGAACTTCATCCCAACTGCTGGTGTTTCCTCATTTCTTACTTCAGGAATGTAAACCCTCCCATTAGCTGTTACAGAGTCGTCACTCTCTGAGCCCCCAGACATTTTATCCACGTATATTATTGATCTACTTCTATATTACTGCATAGCAAATGTTAATTCATTAATCAATCATTACTGCATCACAACTTAGCAATGCATTCCACTTACACAAAACATTGCCCAAATTGACACAATACACGCATAGCCTAGCTTGTTGGATTCTGATTACACAAAACACAAGCAAAAATTTAATACTAGTTACGTCATCTCTTGTGAAATAATCTGGAAAAAATAACATTAGAACCAACATGTTCAACTAAGAACTCAAATGTAATTCAAACCAGCAATTACAGAACTTCACCCAATATCCTCTCCAAATGCTTACTTCTAATGCCATTAAGCCTAAGTTTAGGATCTTTTACCTACATTTCATAATTTTCCAATCCCCCCTCCAAACAAAAATAATCAACTAAGTATATTGAATATTCATAAGGAAATGACGCATTATTGATAGCAGAGCAAATGACGCATTATTGATGCCACAAATGACAAATTTCTCACCCTCACAAAAAACAAATCAAACCCAGCAAAATCAATCCAGCAAGAGTGAACTTACCTCTCAAAGTCAAATGACGCATTATTGATAGCAGAGCAAATGACGCATTATTGATGCCACAAATGACAAATTTCTCACCCTCACAAAAAACAAATCAAACCCAACAAAATCAATCCAGCAAGAGTGAACTTACCTCTCAAAGTCAATCGGGAGCTCCGAACTCAGTCAGCTTCAAAGAATGTGGTGGACATTAGAGAGGATTCTTTCGTAGTGGAGACTCCATCTCTACCAAAATCCAGGAACAACTGCAGCAGCACGAAAAAGAGATATGCTACTTTGCTTTCATCTGGAATCTCTTCTGCTGAACGAAAAAGAGAAGGGGTTTTCACTTCAATCATAGAATCAAAACAGGGCAATAGCTAGGTAAAAGCCATTAATCATCATACCGAGGATACCATAGATCGCAGGCCTCCCAAGGAGCTGATGACAATGGAGCGATTATAGAGTTTGGGAGCTTTGGATCTTTCTAATTGTGGATTTGCATTACATTAAAAAAGAGAGGATTGTGTTCTTGAGTTTTTCACAGAGAGGGAAAAATCTTCAGCTGAAGTTGGGTCTCCAAACGGGTCAGATTTCAACCCGGTTCTACATGCACCCTCTTTTAAAAACTCACCGTTGGATGAAATCCAACGGCTCTTACATACCCCTCAAAAAAACCCCTTATAACTTTCCACTCACTATAGAAGCACTCAACAAAAGGAGACATAAAATCAGCACAAGCCCAAAAGAGTCTGGTCATTACCATCTTTCCCCTGACTACATGAACTATAGTTTTTTATTATTTATTTATTTAGTATAAGCGATTGGGAGAAGGGGGTTTATATACAAATATTCATTGGGTGCCTGGGTTTCAAACCTCTGTCCACATAGGTGAAGGTAGACGAGCTCAACCGTCTTAACTATACCCAACCGAACTAGCGGTGTTAGAATTTCTTCCATGCAAACTAAACATAAGGTTTTTATCCAAAACCATAACTAAATATAAAGCGCTTGAGATTCAAAAATAAACCAAGTGCAGGAATATACTTTTAAAAAAAATACAATATAATTGATATGGACGGTTATAAGTCAGGAAAAAGAACTAATCACCAAATATTATGAATGTAGTGACTTCAATAATCAATAGTAGTACATAACACAAGAATCAGAGGATATAATTGATAAATAAAAGAAGAAAAAAAAAGAGGACAAGAGTAGTGGCGATGTGGGATGAATGAAGATGACCTTTGCTTTTTTGTAATAAACAAAAGAAGCGCACAATATTAAATTTGCAATTTTCCTCACAAGGACAAGAAGTCAAAACCTAGAAAAGTTGGATATGTAGGTAGAACTTGTATGATAAGAGTAGTAGTGTATTAAAAGTGATAGATGCTCTCACAGATCCTGATCAGCCACTCCATCATCAGCAGCAGAAACACAAAACAAAACAAAAACAGAAAAGGTGCACGCATAGATATAGTGGAAACCAGCTCAAATTCCATCCACCTTTGCCTTTTTGCTTTGCTTTCTCTGTTCACCACTTCCTCATGTTCATGTTGTGTGGTTTGCGTGGACTCTCAGACTCTCAAGCCACTTAAAATATATTGAAAAAGGGAAAGGGCATGAGGGTATGATGAGGGCACCTCCTCTTTAAGTTAAGTGCACCTGCATCATCCATGGCAACAATTGTCTTTCTCGATAGGGTGTTTGAAAAAGGTGCTTAAACTTGATATACTTCACGCAACGTGAAACAAGTTAGTCTAATTTTTTACACAAAAAAGAGTTAGCCTATGGATTCGTTGTTAATAAGGTTAACATAGTTGCAAACATGCAATGGTGAGGAAGATTATAGAACAATCCTAAATCAACTAACATACTTACAGCAGAACGGTACATTTCATTACTTGTACTATTGAATGAAATTAACACTATATATATATTCCTTTTCTGAAGGACATGAGAAGGCATGAATCGAACTTTTACCGTAAGTCTCAGGTAAGTGTTCTACTCTAGCCACACAAAATAAAAAAACCTGTTATAGTGGTTAGCCTCATATGCCCGAAATCTTAAGGCTGGCCTGAAAACAACCCTAGATAACGAAAACATAAAGCATCAATAAGAAATCAAGGGTCTTCTCTAAACTTAATTATGTTTCCTGAGAAAGTAATAAGGAATCAATAAGGAATATGTTGTTCTTCATAGGGTGACTTACTGAGAAAGTAAACTTATGCTTTTCTAAACTCGTATTAAGAAATATCTGCAAGTGGCATTGGAGAAAGCTTCCAAAGAACTACCAAACTGAGTTACAGATATGAGAGGTGACACCATGAAGACTTAGTTTGAAAGTTGCTAACACTGTTCAAAGTTTTCTCTGAATTCTATGGTCTGCAGAATTGCATCTTTAGTATTTAATTGGAAGGTTAAAAATAGCCAGAAACCTTTGTCAGCCCACTTAAATCCTTCTGCATATTTACCAAAAAAATGAAGACTTAATTAGTACTTATCTTTGGCACTGATAAAAGTATAAAAGGAATTAACATATAGGATATAGATGCCCCACATGCTTGTGCTCTACTCATTGCCTCTCCTAATGCAGTCAAGAATAATCAGGGAATATTTGTCTAAAGAGGATTTGGGGTCAATTTATGATGAGTGATAGATGAAATCTTTCGTTTAAACTTTAAAATAATATTATATTGTGATTTATGTGTGGCCAGGGTTACATTTCAAAAAGTCTGAATTTGTGGTTAAGTTTGGACGGCTAGAATTCTTTGACGGCTGCTATTGGTTTGCCTATGTTGATTAATTGTTCAATTCAGCCTTTGGTAACCTTTCCTTTTTGTGTTCCAGTAATTTTTCAGCCTGAAATTCTAATAATCAAGAGATCTACTTTGACTAGCCTTTTAACTTCTAAAGATTACATGGCTATACATATAGCACTTCCCACATACCAGATATATAACCCTTCAGGGCCGTTTTGATTTGTGGAATGAACTTTTTGGGAATGAAACTCTCATGTCTAATCTCAAGAGATGAAAATAGAAGTTGTTAATCGAAAATGCTGAGATTTCCTGAGAAAGCATACACCTTCAGATCATCATTCAAAGATTACTCTTGCAAAATATATGAGCCAAATCGAAAATCGAATAACCATATCGTAAATATTTTTATTATTTACAAGAAATATTGTGTTTGCCTATTTATTTAATCACAGTTAGATTATTACTTGGATTATCTTTTGCAAGGGTGATGTTTGAATAGGGCGTACGTAAAAAAAAACAAACGATTTTGATCATGAGATGACATTTTAGTGTGAATCCAAAAGCGTAGTGGTTAGAGTGTTGTATTAACTTACGGCACTAACCAGTTGCATGAGCACTCTTGCATATATATATATATATATATGAATGAATGAGGCAACCAAAAATAGCTGACCCCTGTTTTTCTCTCTGTAGGCCTAGGGGCCTAGCTAGAGTATATTTTCATGATCAGGTTAATATCCTTGAATTATCTATTATCTTTGTCTCTGCATGTAAAGGGTTATTCTCATTATATGGCTGGTGTTTTTAGCGTCGACAAGAATGAAAAATGAGTTTGATTCCATAAATCAATTCCTCAAAGTTCCACTTATATGCATGTTGCTAATCCTGCCCTCCCTCAAAAAGGAATATTTCAAATGTCGACAGCCATCACAAAATGAAAATTCCGGAAAATATAAACCACACCAGTTGATAACTAATTATTTAGTGGGTTCAGGATAACCCTTTTACAATTTTCAAATTATGGTAGAAAGTCTAGCTTCATATACCCAAACTTTATAATACATCAGTGTGGGTATTATGTCATTGCCATTACATGTGTTAGTAAAACAGTAACATATAATATTTACACTTCCACTCGTTGACTACCAACTTTTATCGCATTTTCTGGTAAAACTGATGGTGCCTCTGCAATTGTAACAACAACATCCATGTTGGGATTTTTTTCTTTGGTGTCAAGTTTTCCCAACTGTGATTTTTCTAGTGACACTGTGGCTTCAACAGTCTTAAAATTTGCAAGAAAGGCAAGTTCATTAACAGACTCAATAATTTTCTCACTGCAGTTGACAGCATCCAGCAGAAGTGAACCAACTGTTGCTGCTGGCATCACTTCTAAGAGCTCTGTGTCTTCCCACAGCCCAGATTTAAGTAAGGATCTGAGGGACTTGGCTGCAGCCTTTGCCTTAGCCATGTGGGTTTCAGGAGAGGGTGATTTGGTCATTTCCTTGAAAGCTGCTGCAAGTTCCTTCAGTGCTTTGCCAGTCTCCAAGCTCAGTTTTGTGCATGATTCTTGAATTATATTAAGAATTTCTGGTGAGACCTGCAACACAAGTTAAGCATGAACACTCATTAATTATATTAATTATTAATGGTCCAATATAGCATTATGTTACTACTTAATTTTATATTATTTTTCCCATACATGCATAAACGTAGCCAAATTGCCTAAGCTCCATTAACAATACAAACTTTAATTTATAGTGTGTTCTTTATTAATTTTATATTATATATAATTTTATATGCGTGCTGGTGCTAAATTAGTTCGACTAGAGATTAATTGTATTTAGACAAAAAATGCATGTACTATTTATGGATTTTGTATTCGTACTTTGTTGTCAGCAGTGAGGCGGCTATGAAGTGCTTCAATCCGGTAGGCACATTGTCGAGTTAAAGTTGCAACTTTGAGGTATTGCTTCCATGGATGACAAAAATGGAAACGGCCATGTCCAGGCTCCCATCTTGCAAAATTAGCCTGAAAGTAACCACATATAACATCTTAGTTGATTAAGAATAATGAACTTTTTTTTTAGATGGCGAGAGAGAGAGAGAGAGAGAACTATACCCACCAAGGATTCTTCACTGCTTTTAGAATTGAGAGCACTTTTATAAGCTTGCAGAAATGCCTTGTCATCTTTGGACTCTGCATCCTCTAACGTTTTGAAGTATTCATCTCCAAATCCTATTAAAAAAATTCATTTTATCATTTGTTTATTCTCATACCAAGAAAATTGAAGGACAATTCCTTGAAATAGCATGGTAGTTGTTACGATCTTTGTTTTTGTTGCTTGTGTTAAAAAAAAATTATGCATGTATTCAAATCTTATTAATTAATTTTGATATATAACATGTTGATAAACTGTTAATTTTGACCACACGTTCCAAATAAAAACGTGTATAAGATTGCTTTTGCTATGTGATAATTCTGAATGATAAAACAACTTAGTTAAAACAAGACATGCATCTAAAGTTATAATGTCATACTAAACAACATTATTAGGGTTACAATAAAGAATTTGGGCAGTATATATATTGTTTAGGGTGGCATTAATATACCTTCTAAGAAACTTCCTAGATTTTCAATGTTGGCAGCTATGAGTTTGTGAAGATCTTCGCCAGCCCATACAGGGCAAACCACTATGGAAATGATCACACAGGCAGAGCCACCAATAAAAATGGTTGCCAGCCTTTTGTGGGCCAACTCCAATATTTCATCGTCCCGAAGTCCAGACACAGATATCAAAGAGAATGTCAATATAAAGATCAACAAGCCATAGTCATATCGTGCCTTGATTTGGGGAAAAAACCGTATAAATGTTGATGTCGCAGCTGCAAAGACACAAAAGTTTGAATTTAAACATGTGATGAAGATAAAAAGGACAGCAAATATAAATTTTTTTTATTTTTTATTTTTAATGAAAGAAAGCAAGTATAAATATGTTGGCTAAATAGCAAAATAATTTACCTTGTAGGAAGACAAAGAACCCAATTACTATGGGCTCACCTATCTGCCCAGATAGGCTAGCTAGGTGATGAGCTCCAATGCCAAGAGCACCAGCTAGCAGTGTTGCCAATGCTCTGTTTAAACCTTTTCCAAGAGTAGCTCCTAGAAGCATGTCCGTAAAACAGTCAGAAATCACTAAATTTATTTATGGTGAGTAATACTAGAGCAACAACGTTAACATTAATTAATTAATTAATTGGTCACATGATCATATATCTTTTATGTAATATCTAGGATATAAGTAATTATGTATAAACTGTCACGTCATATGGCTAGCTAATGTCGTCTAAAAACCGATGACGATGAGATATTATTAGTTTTACATTAGTGAGATATAGCTTAAGAGAGATGACCAACATACCTACTGAGAATTCAAATACAACCACGACAGTCATGACAGCCCACATTGCAGAGACACCAAAGTTGTCATAAAGTGGCTGGTAGTAGTAGAATAATGAGACCAAGGTGAGTGCAAATCCAACTTTAAGAGAATGAAAAACTCTTCTAGGGTCATCTTGCCCAAGCTTTTTGGTGTTCTTTGCGATCTCAGAGACTTTGCAAGCAATCATATTAGGCATGGCTGTTAGCCGAACCCACCAACTAGCTAAAAGCCCTACTTTCTCATGACTTGCAGACTCCATCATCACTATGGAAAAAAACAAATGAATGATGTAAGACTAGCTTTGCATGAACTAATTAGAGAGAGAGAGAGAGAGAGAGAGAGAGAGAGAGAGAGAAGAGAGAAGAGAGAGTGATACTTTTCGAGCACACCACAGGCTTCATATTTATAAGGGAAAAAGGATGTAAGTGAAGATTTTAAAAATCTTATTTGAAATCCCTGAACACGTTCTGGTGCTTCTGTTTTGTACGGAGAAAGTACAAGAAGTTTCATTGAAACCAAGGGTTAAAAATGCAAAGTTAAAGTAAGTGCGTTGTTGCTCTGGATGATGTTGTTACCCATTAACAAGAGCCAACAATTTGATCCTCAAGCTTAAAGAGTCGTATCAACTGGCTCTTTCTATCTGGCAATGAAAAGTACTATTTCCTTTTTACTGATTTTCTGTGTAATGCTGAACTTGCCTGTATATGCAGGCTGTATCCAATATTGGTTCTAAACTTTGTGTTAAGCTAGTTGGATAAGGCAGTAAGTTCCCCCTTTGCAGCCGAGGTTGATCTCTCTCCCTACACATTAGAATAGTTCAAAATATCGCTTTATAATAAAAAAAAATATAAAATAAAAATTGTGTAATGTTGAACTTGCCTGTATATGTAGGCCAGGGGCAATCCTACCCTAAGGGCAGGGTAGGCAGCCGCCTACTCCATTTTTTGCCAAACCAAAAATTATATAATCAAATTTCTTCTACCTACTCAAGCTTAACCCACCAGGGGCGATCCTCCCCTAAGGGCAGGGTAGGCAGCCGCCTACTCCATTTTTTGCCAAACCAAAAATTGTACAATCAAATTTCTTCTACCTACTCAAACCTAACCCACCAGGGGCGATCCTCCCCTAAGGACAGGGTAGGCAGCCGCCTACTCCATTTTTTGCCAAACCAAAAATTACCCAATGCAATCAAATTTCTTCTGCCTACTCAAACCCAATCCACTCAAAATTTTCCCTTTAACAAAAACAATAGCCCAGTCCACTCAAACTTTCTCCTTTAACAAAAACAATAAAAAGCTATATAAGCATGTGAAAGTTGTATGAAGAATTTTTTTCAATGTTGACTAACATTGTGAATTTTGTTAGTGCTTCTACTAAGCGCCGTAATGAGTTAAATTTAATTCGAAAAGCTGAACTCAAAGAGTTGTTGGATCCTGGGGAACTTGAGACAGGTAGAGGACTTAATCAAAGTCGTAGTTTGAAACAAGCTAGAGCCACTTGTTGGGGATCTCACTTTGCCTCTATTACAAGTTTGATGAGTTTATTTAAAGAGACTAAAATACTTCTCCAGGAAATCAGTGATTAAACTTTGTTGAAAACATAAAATCATAGTTCTAAGATATGAGGGCACATGGCTGGGATGATTTATTCATGAGTATGGTATCATTTTGTGAACAACATGATATTGATGTTCTTGATATGAGTTTTCGTTATATGATGGGCACACGTTGTTCTTGTCGATAAAAAGATTTTATTACAGTTGAACATTACTATCGCGTTGATGTATTTAATGATATGATAGATTGCATGTTGAGGGAGTTAAATGACAAATTTCCAGAGCAAACAGTTGAACTTCTTATTCTTAGCTCAGCATTGGATCCTCATGATTCCTTCAAATGATTCAATATTGGGCATCTATGTAAACTTGCTGAGAAATTTTATCTTGCTGATTTCAGTCCAAGTGACTTGAAAGCTTTAGAAATTGAATTGATGTATTTTCAAAATGATATGCATCGCCTTCCTTGCTTTAAGGACCTCACCACTCTTCCTCAGTTATGTCAACAATTGGCGAAAATAACTTTGGCAGAAAACTACCATTTGCTTTACAGGTTGATTTAGTTGATGTTGACTCTTCATGTTTCTACAGTAACAATGGAACGAGCTTTTTCATGTATAAGAATTATTAAGAATAAACTTCGGAGTATCATAGCTGATGAATTCCTTGCTGATTGCGTGATTCTCTACATTGAAAGAGAGTTTGCTAATAATATCGATAATAAAGATATAATTTAGGAATTTAAGATTTCTAAGCCTCATAGGGTAAAGTTTTAGATTTAAATAGTTTAGTTTTGTGTTGCATTGCATTTACTTCTTCTTCTTTTTTTGTTAAGCTTTTATTTATGTATAGATATGCATATTTCAGGGTAAGGCTCATTACCTCCCCTCTGACTAGATGTATATTTTTATTTTTATGAAAAAAATTCACTCGTACTGTCAAGTTTTTAAGGTAAGTTTCGTCTACCTGACTTTTGAATCCTGGATTCGCCACTGATGTAGGTTGTATCCAATATTGGTTCTAAACTTTATGTTAAGTCAGTTGGACAAGGCAGTGAGTTCGCCCTTTGTATCCGAGGTCGATCTCTCTCCCTACACATTAAAATAGTTCAAAATATCACTTTATAATTAAAAATATATATAAAATAAAAACTATGTCAAGTATGGTCACTGGGCTTGACCAGCCAAGCTTTTATAGCTCATGGCCCGACCTAAATGTATAGATTTTAAGAAAGTGTCAAAGCATTCACAATGGACTCCCTAAACCACATCCTTAGCTAAAATTTATGGAAGAATTGAAAAAACTCACCTCCAACTATGCTCTCTATCCAGCTCCTAAAATAAAGAGACCTCTTGGAGCTCTTAAATCTGAGAAGAGCGAGAGTGCTCCTAGTAACTCCTTATAATTAAATGCTTCTATATTTAATATTATTTTAAGCATTCGTTTAATGCCAACTATTTTTTATTATTGCTTTTGTGTCTACACTTTATTCAAAAATTGAATTAAAATTAATTAAAAACATTTATTACTCTTTAAACCAGAGAGTATGGTTGAAGTTGAAATTTATAGAGAGCTCCTAAAATAGCGTTCTAGTGTTTTTAGCTAAATTTTAACTAAAAAATAGAGAACATGATTGTGGATGCTCTTAGTACTAGTGGAGACAGTACTCTAACTATAAGTTCACTAATTAATAGGTTAAAAAAGTTGTAAATTGAGCTTAGACCCTTAAAATTCATTTTTAATCACCTACAACCATTTCCTTCATTTTTTTTATTTAAAATACCCATTTTTTTCAAATGAAACCCGATGACTAGGATCCAAGTAAGAAAGTTACCTAATCTAGCTTAAAATCTGATTTATTCTATTTTTTGGATTCCAAAACTACCCCTATTTACAAGTTAATGTGTTATGTGGGGGTGTAACTAATGACACATGTTTAATTTGGAAAGATCTTCAAATGGTAATGGATGTAGGAAATAATTTAGAAACTTATTTGAAATTAAAAAATTCAAAATTAACGTATTAGTAACATTTTGGTTTATTTAATTTAATTTTTTTTCCTTTTATTAATTATACAACTAGTAATTTTATTATAGTTTTATGAATAATAATGTACATTCTAATTATGTTGAAAAATATTTTGATAATCTATTTATTGTTTGTTTTATGAAAACATTTTTTTTTAAATGAACCTATTTTTCTCTAAATAAGTGTACCTATTTTTCTCTCTAAATAATGTACCCTTTTTTCTCTGAATAAAGTACCTATTATTTGTTTTATGAAAAAAATTAAATTAAATGAACCTATTTTCTCTGTCCAAATAATGTACCTATTTTTTTTTCTCAAATAATGTACCTATTAAAACAAGAGATATTTAGTGATATACCCATTCTTAGCACTAATATTATAGATAAACCCTCCATCGTTGAATTTCTATAAACAAACCCAAAAAAAACCCCAAAAATGACAGCTGGCCTTATTGAATTTAATATTGATTATTAAATTACTTTAATGCCCTATTGAGTGTTTTGGGTATTTTTATGAGATTTTGAGGTTGGGCTTGTTTTAAGAAATTTATGATAGTTTTGTAATTTATAAGAAGTTAAGGCCTCTTTGTTATATTGTAAATGGGTTTTTGGTGTGTTTATAAAGTTCATTTCATATGGGGTATTTTTATAATTTGAGCCCCCATATTGGGTATATTAGTGAATCTCCCTTAAAACAATGTATGTATTTTTTAAAAATGAACCTATTTTTCCTCTCTAAATAATGTACCTATACACATTTATAGATATATTGTAAAATAATTTACCTATGGGTAAATAATGTACCTATATTTTCTATAAATTATTATGTACCTATTTTTAATTTATGAAAAATGTACAGAAATTTCAATTACAAAGTAACTGACTTGGTTTTTTTTAAAATTTTTTGGTACCTATATTTTATTTAAATAATATATTTATATTTTATACGTATATATTTATATTTATATTTTTCATAGGTACATTAGTGGATATGTAATTTCCTTTTTTTTTCTTTTTTTTTGTGGTTTGCAATTTTTGGGGGCGATATGTGAGAAGGAATAACAACCAAAAGAAATGGGGTGATTGATATGCTATTAATAGGGAGTATTAATTACAATTATGGCAGTTAATGAAATGCTTGAAATAAATAAGAAATAAAATATGAAGTTTGGTGGCAACGATGTAAAAACAAAGGAATACTACTACCTCTTATATCCTACTGGTCATTTAAATTTGAAATTGGGTTTTACATATAGATTTATAGAGTGATGGGTATATGTCTAGAAAATAGAAAATGTAGGGATCTATATTGGAGAAGCCAGTTAAAAAAGATTCAACCGAAAATTGAATATTATATTAAAGGGTTAGCTACATAAAACCTTGACACCGAATAAATAGAGACTAAAAGAGAAACAAGAATAAATCCTTATTCCCATGAGCCTAGGGCTATAAATTCATTTTAAATTTAGATGTCTCATCCCATAAAGGAGGAGGGGGGTGGTTTATATACTGTGGTCATACTTGTATTTTTACTGTATGTATGAAGTAGCAGATATGAATGCACGTGAAATCTACATTGCTTTTGGTTGGCATATCTCTGCCTTGGCTTTAATATATGCAGGGCATCTGCTTCGGCATCAAGGATGTTTCGATGGGCACGGACTTCGCGTGTTAACG